AAAAAAAAAAATTCTTCTTTAATGAAGAATATTATAGTAACTATAGTTCTAATTAATAATTAGTTCTATAGGTATGTCTATTTATGTTTTTGAAGTATAGTCATATGATTTTTTTTTTTTACAAATTATCTAAAATATGATACAATTTTTAAATATATACAAACTTAGCTTTTAACAGTACTCCATCAACACCGATAAGAGGTTATCCTCAGTGGTGAGATGGGCCATCTAACCATGTTATATATATATATATATAATCATTAATTACTGAAAAATTGTGCTTTCTTTTTGGCCAATAAATTATTATTATTATTATATTAACAATACACTTTTTTTTCTCGACTTTATAAGTGGATAAAACATTGCGAATTAGATCAAAATAAAAAATTGGAACGTCAACATTTTCAGAAGAATAATTTATATGAAATAGCTATCTTTAAGATTTTCGAAAATAACAAAATAAAAATGTAACTTTTTAATTTATTTAAATTAAATTCCAATATTAATATTTGTAGTCATTATCGATAAGAGTAATGCATAGAAAAAAAAAACAGGATTTGATTACCTTTGTTGTCTTAAAGATATTTCAATAAGCATATCTTCATTGAACATCCTGTAGATTCTTCCCTCCACTCTGAATCTAAAATTAAATATTTAAGGCTTGGAATACATCAAGGCTCTGTGCATTCAAATTTACAGATCAAAAAATAACCTCCCTAAAGTACCTTAACTGTCGGAATTTTTTTTAGAAAAATTGCTATCATTATAAACTTGAGAAAAATTGCTGATAGAAAAGATGTTCACATAAAAAAAAAATCGTAATATATTTTTACATTTGATGAAAAAAATTCTGAGAAAATCAAAAACCATTCTTTTTTTACAAAAGATCCTAGGTGCTTTCCTATAACTCTCAACATCGCCTATAACTGCTTATTGTCTTTAGCTGTCTTATCGTGTTTTTCCAAACTCATAGTCTGTTTTACTTCTACATATTCGTAGCCTATTTTCTTCAAATGCAACTCTCTAATCTTGAAGTCTACTATTAACTTATTTTAGATTATCTTCTATTAAAACATACCATTTATCAAATTCTTGTTTAGAATTCTGTTCGACAGAATTTAACAACGGCTGTCAACCTGACACAACCACCTTACTCGCCTCTTAAAACAGATAGCGCCAGTAGAGGTACCGTGGGACTATTCTAATATTTTCTCACGGGGAGTGTGTTGAAAATTGTATATATACGTAATAATATTATTACATATCATAATATAATGAAAAGTTTTATTATCCATTTACTTATCGAATGTTTGAAAAATAAAAAAAACATTAATTAATATCTGTGTTTATGTTCAAAAATATTTTAAACAACCATCTATTAGATGGTAAATAAAAATTATATTTGAAAAAAAAAAACAAAATTTCTGCTGGCCGTGGCTCACCGTAAAGGCGTTACACTTTTAGGCTATAGGCTATACCTTATCTACTCTATAGTCCTACATTTGGCCCTGGTGACGCGTTGAATTTAAAATCTATATATAATCGTTATTATTTAAGTTTTTCTTGATCTAATCATTTATGCATTGTGATTATATGGTATTAATTTTTATCCCTCTTAGTTAAAACACTGAAAATAATGTATCATAATTTTTGTAATATATAATTTATATACAACTTATATTTTTATAATTTCGGCTGAAAAAGAAATACCTATAGTATTTGAATATTTCATTGTTTTTTCTTTTCATTATAATGGCATTTTATGCCAGTACTGCCTATTTCTGGCTATACATGTAAACTCCTACACAAATTAACTTTTTATCTGGATTTAAAAAATAGTGTAAACGCCTACATGATTCATTTTTACCTAGCAAAAATAGTTTGTGCAATCTCCTAAACATATCTTTGTACATTTGTAAGTTTGAAATGGGTAATGGTTATTTCATATTGGTTTTCCTGGGGAAAAAGGATCAGGAAAAAATGTTTGATAGTAAAAATGTTTGATTAAAAAATGTCTTAATCGTAAACGAAGATGGAACGATTTAAATAAATTCGGAAAATAAGTTTGGTGGGATGTAAAAGAGATTTAAAGTATGTATATTAATCAAAATTAAATTAACAAATGTTGATATTTTAGCTTAAAGAACAGCCAAAATTGAACGATATTAGTTTAATAACACGATGTATACATAGATTTTTGGTAAATTTTATCATATTGTCATTTTTAACACCAAAATTTAACAAAATTAAGACGATTTTTATACCTATTAATACTACCTATTATTATATACTAAAATTGTATTTAATTTATTTTTTATATTTATTATTGTCGATATTGTAATTTTTAGATCAGAAAAATTTGTTTAGAAAATTTTTCCTAGGTATTTTGGTTGGACCCTCTTGCATATTATAACACTTCCTGCATTGAACGACGAGCCAGTAGTATTAGTTTTTATGAATCGTCAGTATTTTTATGCTTTTGGATATAATATATTAAAACCCTAATTTTAAAATAATTACAAATATTAAATTTAATAACATATAAATTAAAGACGTCGTATCAAAAAATATTGAGCAATTCGATAAGGTATAAGTACGTTATTTCTGTACACGGAATTCACTTTGAATTTGCCGACCTTTGGCCAACAGTGGAAATAAGTGGTTGCAATTTTCATTTGTGCCAAAATTGGTTC